TTGCAACTGCTTCTTCGAATTGAACAACATGCCCTTTTCAATATAAATAGCACCATTCATGAAATCTTCCGATTCACCCCATGTACGTTGTGATGTATATTCATCATGTGTATCGCCAAAGATATCTGGACCATCTTGGAGATGATCCAGATAAGGAATTTCATGATTACAAAAAGGACTCATGGACATTGGTCTTGGCGACCGATTGGGCATTAAAAAATCATCATCACTAGATGATACCTCAAATGGAACATTATCTCTTGATTTCTCGGCATTAGGCAAATCATCACTATCACTAGCTGAAGGTGAGCCGTAATTTGGAAGGTCACGATCATCGATATTTACAGGATCAATGGGCTCATCTTGTGTGATATTTTCCCTATATATGTATAAAAGTATAAATATTTGTCTCATGCAATTAACTTACTTAAATAAAAAATCAAGTGTTGGACATACCGACAATCATCTGCATCAAAAGTAGGCGAGACATGAAAATTTGAGGATGTCCCGACATTTTCCGTCATTTGAAAGTGTGAGGACTGACCAAAATAATTATCTAGTCCATAACTTGAAGCAATATTCCTATCTTGCTGAGGTAAACCGCTACAAAATATATAATAATAATAAGAAGAATAATAAGAATAATAAATCATATAAATTAATAAATAATTGACAAAATCAACAAATAATAATCGAAATATAATTATTGAGCATTACCAGTCACTTTCATTGATAGTTTCGTTCAAATCAACATCATATCGACCGGTAAGAATATTTTGATAATGAGTCATGTTAGAAAAATCAGTAGATTGAGTTATCGGAAATCCATCAACGCTATTACGATTTTCTAATCGGGGATGGACATCGACCGATAAAGGAGAATGTTGTTGACTAGTCTTAGGCTCCTTCCTAACATAGCTTTCAAGTATTGTTAACTTGATTTGATCTATGAAGTCATTTGGAACCCTCAAAAAGTCGGTCAACGATTCGTCATTATAGATAATCCACTCTCCAAAATTTACTTGTCCTTGTGATAAAAATGAAGTAGGGTATTTTCCGACTATAATCAAATTATAATCAGTACTATTTATACCCATTATTTTATAAATTGATGAAAGAAATTTATGATAGCGGACATTAATTGAATATTTAGCATTGTGTTTGGGAGGACAATTATAATAAACGGTATTTCCGTCATGTATAATTTCGCCATCCCAATAAATCGAAACTCTAACTTTTGGTTTAGAAGAGATTTTTCTTTTGAGATTGAAATGAACAAATATAGAAGACTTTATGTTGTAGGTGCTATCAACTATGTTTGAACATCCTCCTTAAATAGAGATTGGAGGATTTTTCAGAATAAAAAAATAAAAATACATAGTGAAATAATTTTTTCCGTTTTTATGATATGTCAAATCAATATAATTGATTGTATGACACAAACACTGCAAAAAAAAAGATAAAGAGATGGGAAAAATATTCCTCTTTGTAAAGTGGAATTTTTTCTTCCACTTTATAAAGTGTAAGAAAAAGTTCCACTTTACAAAGTGTAAGAAAAACTTACACTTTATAAAGTGTAAGAAATAGTTCCATTTTATAAAGTGTAGGAAATAGTTCTGTTATATATTAAAATATATACGTTATGGGACTAACGGAAAACGTTTAGAATATTAGATGAAGTGGAAATTTTTCTTCCACTAAGCCTATTTTAGTTACTTCCTAAAGTTGTGGCTTATTTTGGTCACTTTTATGTTTTTGTGGCTTATTTAGGTTCCCATCTCCATTCTTAGTAAGCAACTCAAATTACTATTCATTTTGAATTGCTATCGATATCTGCTTTTGATGAGTTTTACATATTCGACTCAAAGCATTATTTGTGATGATAAGGATGTAGCTTTACTCTTAATTAATTTCATATTTAGTGGTTCAAGATACTTTATTAAAATAATTATCCACATTGAATTATTGGAGCTTTGTGGATCAACTCAAGATGAGCTACATTCTTAGTGCCTCAAGATATTTGAATAAAATCATTGTTCATACTTGACAAGCTTCACTCTCGATGAGTTTCATTTTTTCTAGAGGTGGGGGGTGAGTGGGGTGGATTGAGGGGCTCATAGACTCAACTCAAGATAAGTTTTGTCTTTGGGCAATCTAAACTCAAATAAACTTCATTCTTACTAGATACCTAATCTGCTCATCAGTACAAGTAGTTTTTTAATCCGCTTTAACAAAGATCAAAACAAACTAAAAAACACTTAATCTTTTTTACTTCTATTAAGAGTTAATTATATAATAATTTTGCATGCTTGTTATTCCAACTTCATAAATCGCCAAGCCACACTGACTTTTTGAGCCACTATGCGTTAAAGAATAAAAAATATGTAATTAAAGAAGAAATTATTTTGATACATAAAAAAATCAACTTTCATAATTATATAGGTATGATTTATCCCAATAAGGTATTTCATGTCATTACATAACTTTCAAGATAATCATAAAGAGATATTTTTCATATATACATTAGAAAAATTACAATAAATTTCCTTCAAAATACAACAAAACTCACGTTTATAATTATTTTTATTTTTTTATACTACTCCAAGAGTTTTTATAATTATACAACGACTTTTCAAAATAATCATGTTGCATCACAAACAAACGTGTATTGAAATATTACAAACTATTTTGATGTCCATCACGCTGTCTTTAAGGCGGACCACAACCCCAAGAGCAATTCATCAGTGCTACAACCTCTCAAAGACTATTCTTCCTCTGAATATACATACCTTTTTTTTTCATCCGGTGTTCAATATGTGCTTTAAATCCCAACTATTCCGGATACACATCACGTAGGGCCCCATTACGCAAGGGAAGTACTCCCTACCAAGAATTTTTCTATACCTAGGACACAAACCCAAATATACATACTTGATAGACCATTAAAATGATCTTGAAGAATAACAAGTAGCCTCATAGGGAAAAGAAGAAGAATTCCTCTCCATCCCAATAATCAAAAAGATATTATCCATTTCTATACAGTACTGACTTTATCAAGAATGAATATATGAGTATAGAGAGACTAGCTAATTTCCTGTACAAGTTTCCATTGACAGTATAAAATTTTCCATTCGAAAACAGGAAGGGGAGAAGGGTGACAAGAGGGTCATAAAATACAGTACAGATATACCAACATTATAGCAATATATTCTCCTAAGTTTTAAGTTTTACAAAAATAAAGGAACAATTTCGCAAGAGCCACCACTTCGCGACAACTGCAACAATACAATTATCAACCATATCAGCCTGCTCGCCAAGAAAACCAATGCCACCAATAGGGAGATTTAGTGACTTCTCCTTTACTTCGAACTGAAACCTGATTGCCTGCAAAGATAATTGATATAGGTCACTCAGCTGGTTCGTTGCATCCCAAGTGTGTTGGAAATGAGAAGTAAAAAAACTTACGAATCATCACAGTTTTCTTCACTGGCTAATGACCTCTGTGTACTCCGTTATGGTCCTGAAACCAAGATAAAGAGAGGTAACTTATTGCACAATGGAAACCTGATGTTTTGTTCAGAATCCTTTCTAGCAAAAGATACTTCATTAAAAATCTGTGTGCAAGTCATGGATATCCACACTAAGAAACACTCTGCAGATACATATGTCGAACAAGGGCACTTTCAAAAACTGAGTTTAAATACATTAATGAACCACTTCATCGTGCTAGAGAAAAGAAAAGGAAATGTCATCTACAAAACTAGATAGATATCATATTCATGGAATATGATTCACTTTCAAGATGCCTAGGTGGTGAAATGGTAGATACGCAAGACTCAAATCTCATGCTAAAGAGCAGAACAGAGACTGAAATTTCGAGGACCCTAACTACAGCACATGAATTTATCACAATACTTCACCCAGAGAACCAACCACACCCAGATCATCAACCACTAGATAGCATGGAGAAAAAAGAGGGATGGGAGTCGCCCCAAGTTTTTTATGAACAAGAAGTTCATCTGGAGCCAATGGTTTGGGCATCCGTGAGTTTCAAAACCCGGAGATGATGGACCCGCCCCTCTATCCTTCTCCACTTAAATACTAGACTTAGTTCACTTGGTGCAAGGTTCAAACTTGTGACTTAAGACACAAGTTCCTCAACTGAGCTAACCATCTCTTGCTTATAGCACTATGAGGAAATGCTAAATGCTACAAGCTTTTCTCCGAAAAGAAAGGAAATTAGAATAGATTTTCCAGAACAGAGATTAACTAAAACGATAAAGGTGAACTTTTTACAGTTCAAAATCCAACCCAACAGAGCATGGCTCTTGAGTTTATTCGAAAATACATGAATATATAACAAGAAAAATGTCAAAGAGTACTAACAGGGTGGGGCAATCTTTTGCTGCCTCTGCTATAAGCTTCAAGATACTCTTCATATGTCTGCAACAAGAGAAAGGAGTATGAACAACAAGTTTACAGTAATATGTTAATTATGGCAAACATGATTTGATGGTGGATCTAACAGCTACAACATGTGGTTCATGAAGTATTACACTTGTTAAAGAACATTCTTCAAACTAAATTCGGTAAGGACAGAGATTATGCAACCTGCTAAGTTCATAGCTAGGAACCAGGTGAATAAATTATGATGTATTAAAAACATAAGAACTACAGTGTCTTGAAAATATCAATATTGCAACAGTCTAAGAGACAATATGAGTCAGAAGGCCATAAATAGCAGCCATGCAAGAGAGGGGGAAAGAGAGAAGTTGCTGGTGTGTGTGTGTTACTTAATGGGGGGTAGGGGGCAAATGTAAAGAAGAAGAATGTCTACGAATTCCACCTAGCATTTCCTTGGACTAGCCCATTTGTCAAGGTGCATAGAGCACCAAAGAAGAAGAAAAACTTCACCAATAAAATAGGAATAACCTAATAACTTCTTATAACTGGTGGTGTCCGGCCAACTTGTGTGCACCTTGATTAATCTCACTAGGTACCTGCGGACTCCACCGGCGGCATAGGTACCGGGTAACTCTGTTGAGGTAGAAATCACCTAGTTTTTGCCTCTGTTGGGTTTTGAACTTGAGACATCATAGTTCTCAGCCCACTTCATTGGCCACTAGGTCACACACCCTTGGATGTGAATAACCTGATAACTTTCCACTCTACAATTGAAAACTATATGGGTGTATATATATACATATACAAGTTCCCAGTCTGTTCTCTATACCTGCAGGAATTATTACTCAATGAAAAAGGACTTACATTGACTTCTAAGACAACCAGGATTCATGTAAAGTTGGGAATTAAACTAATATCTTATAAACCATTTTGCTATGAAGTTTGATTTAAACTAATACAGTTAATGGTATCAAGGTTCAACAGATGTGCATTTGTTTAAGGAATTGTAAGTCCACACCTGTGAGTCCTATCATACAAACAGAAGATTTGAAAGTCTAACTACAGAAAGTGTCACGCCCCAAGCTACCCCCGAGACGCGGACACGGGACCTAGGACCACAAGTGATCCCAAGCTAACCCTGCTGGCATGATCATGAGCATACTAAAGATAATAAACTGATGCGGAAGCTAATTCATAAATAAATCTAAAAAGATGGGGAATACCCATATACTATAGCTGAATATATATCAAATCTGAGAGTTTAATACAAAAGAAATATCAAACTCAAATACTAAGCTGAATCTAACTATGTCTGAAATAAGCCTCTAAACTGACTAGAAATGTTGGGACATGCCCCAACTAGATCTAGAAAAAAACTGAAACTAAAGACTAAAAGCGATAAAGATAAACATGTCACTAGTCCTCGAAGAATGAGGACTCACCACTGATGCTGCTGAACTAAAGATCGAGAACCAATCTAAGCGTGATCTGGATACTGAGAACCTGAACCTACATCACGAGAAGATGTAGCGCACGTATGCGTCAGTACTTGAAAGGTACTGAGCATGCAGGATAGAGTAAAGCTAAAATAATGCATAACTGAACAAGGCATACTGAGCAATGATATAATCTGAACATGATATAGATACTGAAAATACTGAATACTAAGCTAACTGAATGCAATGACCAAATTTATAACATGCTGAGACTGAATACTGACTGTACTGAAATATGGTCAATGCAATAGAGTCTGACTGAACTGTGGGAGCTACTAATAACCGACATAAAACCACATGAGTTAAATGTGGAGTTCGATGTATACGCCCCATCGAGAGGACCCAATATACCCTGCCAGAGGTATAGAGGCATGCTGGCGTGATCACTAAACTGATGTTGCCCACAGAGGGGACTTACACCTACGTGGCTCGTAGTTCTAGGACTATATGGGTACGCTGAAACCCTAGTCCAACTCGGTATTATGCTACTCCCAATGAATTAAGTAGTTAACTGGTTATGACTGAATTTCTGTAAATACTGGATAGCTCGAACTGAACATGCAAACTGAGAATGCAATAATTAATCTGATAATGATGCATTCATAAACTGAGGCATGTAAAACTGAATACTGAAATATCTGACCTAGCATGTGTAATTCAAGAACTAAAGAAATACATAGCTAGGGTTCTGAAATTCATGCGATAAACTGAGCAATAACATGATAATCTAATTTGGAACATTTAAATAACTAATTCATGATGATCTGCTATAATTCTAGAAACCCTAGGTCTGTTCATAATCATGGAATCAAGAATCTGACTGAATTCTAGGGACCTAATGGGCGAAAGGAACCCACTAGTGAAATCCCACATACCTGGTGACGAATTCCACGGAGAAATCTTTCGATTTAGGGGCTGGAACTGAAGGAACCTTGCTGCGTTCTTGAACTAGGGTTCTTGACTTCTTTTCTCCTTTTAGCGTTCTAATTCTTCTAAGTTTGATTAATGATTTGACTTAGGTAAGTTCTAGTTATGTTTCTAGGTTTAAACTTATTAAAATCTCATGATTTAGGGTCTAAACGACGTATCTTAGGGGTTAAACGAAATAGGAAAAGACCAAAAGACCCTTAAATTAGCTGCTGTCGGAGTGACAGACGGTCCGTCAATCAATCGACGGTCCGTCGATTGGGTCCGTAGGTCGAGTCTGCCCGACAGGTCTTCACTAAAACGGGGATAACTTTTTACTCGGAGGTCGGAATTTAGCAAACTCGGTGGCGTTGGAAAGATAATTCAATTATCTATCTAACCATAGGTCATGGGACACATAATTCATTTTTTGCTAAAAGTTATGACCATCTGAAGTTGACCCATCAGAATTTTCAGCTAACTGGCTGCTAACCTTCGATCTACGGTCAGACCTACGGACCGTGGATCGAATGACGGTCCGTGCTGGTCAACCGTAGTTTGGGACTGAAGCTGGGCTTTTGGGGCATCGATTCACGGACACGAACTACGGTCCGTGACCTGACTTACGGACCGTAAGTCCGGCCGTGGGTCAACACTTAGCCAAATTTTCTGACTGAGTTCTGGGGAAGTTTTCTGTCACGAACCACGGACCTGCAGGACGGACCGTGAGTCCATCTACGGTCCGTGGATGGTGTCCGTGAGTGCCACCTGTAACACCAGAAATCTGAAATCTCTATTTTCGGATACGGGGTGTTACAGAAAGAATCAGATGACATACGGTCCAGTATCAAGAAATCTGGTGTAGACCTTGTAAGTTAAAAATTACTGAATTGGGCAATTTCTGGCATATGCCTTCAACAGTAGATAACCATTTTTGTACAAAATGCACACAAAGTACAGATTCATATGCATTCAAAGAAAAGAAGGATGCTAGATATCAAATAGTCAGAAACAAGAGATATAAGCGTTCTTGGCTGAAAATTGAAATCATCAGCAAACTTTGAGAGAGTACAAAAGAGTATTTCATCTTCTTGACAAATACAAGAACAATCCTTTTGACCTATGTGCATCAATAATTAAAAATTAAGGGTAAAACGAGAACTTCTAAATAAATAATGGTAAGACAGGAAACACAAACCATTTCAAGAATGTCATCTTCAGTCAAATTACGAGCAAGTGGACTCCTTTCTGCCGGCAATCCCCACATGTTAATTTGAGGACCCATGTAAGTATCTACATGAAGATTAGCAAGGCTTCTATTCCTCTGTGAATGCCTCGACTGTCTCGACTTTGATTCCCCTGATGCAATGGCTGACTCCTCAGCAGAAAATACACCATTTATTCTCTGAGGAGCTAGGTGAAGTCTACTAGCATCAATTTGATGTTGGTAGAGTAAAGAGGGATAAAACATGGTCCCATTAGGTATCAGAGATGCATTACAGTCTTGATATCCAAGAAGCAGTGAAGGCTCTACATATGGCCTTTTAGAAGAGAGATCATTCCTTGCAAAGATATCCCTGGATGAGCCAATAACAATTATAAAGAGAAAAATCATTTGGACCAATTTTTCCACAACTCTAGCACTAATTCAATTTTGAGAAAAGGCTGTATGTTTCCAAATAATGGAACGGGAACACACTATTCAAGTTTTCGAGGAAAGGGCTATACATTTTCAAATCAACATCCAAAGCATCCTGTCCATCAAGGAGCTCACATAAAGCTTCACCAATATCTGGAGGTAACTCCTGACAGCAATACATGTACCAGGGTCATAAAAGCCTCTTTACTAACAAGAGTACATTGAAAAAATAAGTGAATAGTACTAAGACAAGAATATAACCCATGCCTGACAATCTCTACTAATTTTGACTGGTTTGTATTGATTCCATGGATTCTTAAGGTGAAGAGTTCTTTGGAAAGGCAGATCATACAATCGCAGCCAATTCACTTCAAAGCTTCGACCCCAAGGATTACGACCACCATTTCCTTGACTCCAAACTTGGTCTCTTCTCAAACCGACTGAAGAAATCATTTGGGCGTACCCTTGGAAATACCCACTCATGTTGACACTGAATATTAGTATAACCTTGCTGGAATTCTGCCCGCAAAATAAACACAAACATTTGTTGTATTGTAAGAAATATATATATTACAGATGCTCATAATATTATAATACTCATGAGGATATAAAAGGAAAAACGACTTACATGAAATGCTTCATCCAAAATGGCCTCATTCATGGCTTGCGTAGCCCAAATCCCTCTGTTTACTGATAATTGGATATTTTCATGGTTCAAACTCTTGATTACAAAATATCTTATGCTATAGAGTTTACCCTTTTCAATTGCACTTGAAATTCCAATCGGCGGAGATGAAAGTGTGAGCTCCTCTGCTATAGAACGATTGGGACCCTCAATTACTCCGAGGCATGAACTACCTGAGAAAAGAGTTCATATTTGAAGTTGAATCATGTTGATGTACCAGTATATAGTAATTCATATACTTATCATTTAACCACTACATTCATGTCAAGGACAACGAAGCTACAAGATATCTCCTTTTTATTTTTTATTTCTGTGATCAGGTAGTGTGAAACTTCATAAAGGTTACAGTCAGGAGATGTTGAATTTAACAAGAAATTAGACAAAACGGAGTTAGCTCCTGAACACTGATCATCAAGGATGCTACACGATATCTATGAGGATTCACATATAAAACAGCCCAGAAAATAGTAACAAACTTACAGTAAAGAAAAATAAGAATTATTCACAACCAAAAATAATATAGCAAGCATAGTAATTAACTCGAACTGTTTGTGCATAGAATCAATCAATAAGTTCCAACAACTCAAAACATTTTTTAGAAGAAAATGAATGAGCATACAGCCTATTTCTGATAATTTACTACGTAATAATTGTGTAAGTCAAGTTAAACTGCATTTTATTGTTATGTTTTTGGTGTAATCAGGTATACTCCAATGCCATTGTATTGGTAATTGATGTTTTAGGCTCAATATAGACTGAAACAAGTAGAAAAGGAGACATTTGTATATAATGGTTTCAGTACAAACCCATGTACTGTTTTGTGATATAGTACAAAGTTAGCTATTTCAAAAGAAAAAAAATTACGAATCTAAGATTCAAAGTTCAATAAGCAAAATTTGGCAAGAAGTTGAATTGCAGTATTTTTCATGAATAAGAACGTAGAGGACAATCAATTCACGAGGTAATATGTTATAATTAACACATACACTCATGTAGCACTTACTAGTTACTATAATGACATAGAATGCACCAAAAGGAGTGGAAACTGAAAGTACTTCATGTAGTCATTCCCTGGAGTTGAGATAAAATAAGTGAACTTTTTGAGAACACAACAAGCCTGTTATTCCCAAAGTGGAGAGAGAGAGAGAGAGAGAGAGAGAGAGATGGAGAGAGAGGGAGAGGGAGAGGGAGAGAGAGAGAGAGAGAGAGAGAGAGTGGATTACGTATAGTCATTCCCAAGCTACTTGTCAAACAATATTAAAATCCTATAAGACAACAGGTTGAAAGTTTTATCAAAAAATTCCAAACTTTATATACACCACAGGTTCATTATGAAGCCATGAAATTGGATTCCAATTCTTAAGAAGTAAAGTACTCCATAAATTTGTAGGTTCAACTTTCTCAACAATCGCATTTCTTTTTTATATAATATTGTAAACAAATTAATGCCAAGCCAGATTGTACTTTTTTTTTTGACAAGGGCCACGCCAGATTGTACATACTCAATAAGCTATGCGAGTAACTGAAGCTCCTTGTATCGTCACTAATTTATTTATAAAGTAAGGTAATTTTATTAATGGGGGCAACCTTATCAAGTAACTGGAAGTCCAGATTATGTCCTTATGAAGAAGTTAAGGCATCTCAAGAGGGACATTATGTGGAATAAAGAACTATTACACTAATTAGAGACCAGGGCAAAAATCTTGATGGAATGTTAGAACAGGATGCTGACAACAGAGTTTTAACACAAAAAGAAAAGGAAAAAACCATAGCGTTTATTCTCATCAATAAGTAACATTTATCGTTCGATTTACCCTTTGTTTCTCCAACAAATTGTGTTGAAATGATGAAGTTATGCAGTATTATTGCTCCATGAACTTCAAAGCATTTCCAACCAAAAGATACTTGAAGTGTCACATTCATTAGACGGGAATAAAAGTTGTGCATCTAAACCATCTCTGCATTTTATGCATACAAATTCATGGAGGGTGTGAAACTTCTACACAACCTCGAAGACAGCCATGACTGTTCATACAAATGAACAACACAACAACAACAACAACAACAACCCAGTGAAATCCCACTAGGTGGGGTCTGGGGAGGGTAAATAGTACGCAGACCTTGCCACTACCTCGTGGAGGTAGAGAGGCTGTTTCCAAGAGACCCTCAGCTCAAGAACATCAAATCTAAGTGACAGGAGAGATATATGCAAACATAACAGCCAATACAAAAGATAGCGTATAATCAACAAATGAGACAATAACAAGAAAGATATAGAAGGAGTGAAACACAGTAAACAGCATAAGGCTAGGACTGCTCCAAACGCTAACAACCCAAACCCTCGCAAGGGAAGACAACCCGCTAACCCTACTAACCTTCAACCTTAATACGCGACCTCCACTCCTTCCTATCTAGAGTCATGTCCTCGGTGATGTGAAGCATAGCCAAATCTTGTCTAATCACCTCTTCCCAATACTTCTTGGGCCTACCTCTACCCCTCCGCGTACCCTCTACCCCCATTACCTCGCACCTCCTCACTGGGGCGTCTGCACTCCGTCTCTTCACATGTCCAAACCATCTCAGTCTCGCTTCCCTCAGCTTGTCCACCACAGAGGCCACTCCCACCTTCTCCCGGATAACCTCATTCCTAATCTTGTCGCTCCTAGTGTGCCCACACATCCATCTCAACATCCTCATCTCCGCAACATGCATTTTATGAACATGTGCGTTCTTAACTGGCCAACACTCCGCTCCATACAACAAGGCCGGTCTAACTACCACTCTGTAGAACTTACCTTTAAGTTTCGGTGGAATTTTCTTATCACACAATACTCCAGAGGCAAGCCTCCATTTCATCCAAGCAGCCCCAACGCGATGTGTGACATCATCATCAATGTCGCCACTCCATACAAATGAACAACACGCAGAATTGAATTATGAAAAGATTTAGAGCCTATTCGGATTGGCTTATTTCAAGTGTTATTAAGCATTTTTGTAGTGTTTGGGTAAAATAAAAAAGTGTTTTTAAGTTTCTTAAGCCAAATAGGCAAAAAAAAAAAAAAAGCCAAAAGCCATAAGTTAGAATTCCTAACTTATGGATTTTGGCTTATAAATCAAAAGCTATAAGCCCAATCAAACAGGCTCTTAGTATCAGTTTTACAGCCTCAAGAAACCATGCAATTAACTAGAGCTCTTCATGGCATCACTAATTACTAACTAGTGGACCTCCTTTCTATCAAATTCAGCAAGCTCTTTCTAATTCTCAAGTGAAGCTCCAGTCAAAGTAGAAAAGACTGGACCTGTTTGGCCATCCCTAACACGTTAAAGAAAACTTATTGCTCATCAGTTGAATAGAAAAGCCAGCCAAAAGATACTTGAAGCATACAACTTTTGCACCAATATTAAATTGTGGGCCAGTGTAAATGACCACATCCTTGTCTTTGTCATGCAGACACATTATAGGAAACCTTGTAACAAATCTCAACAGTAGAAAGTACTCAAACAAAAAAAAAATTCAAAATAAGACAAAACCCACACAGATAACTGAATTATGAATAGATTTCGCATCAGCGTTACCTGGTCCATCGACATTCCTTTCATTTGTGCAATCGGTCACTATGGAATAAGCTATTGATGCATTTTCTCTTGCAGTATCTGACAGCATATCTGCTTACAACCTCCTGCCGAAAAAAAGGTAACAGAATGACAGTAAAATTAGGTTTAAGAGTACAAAACCTCAAAGAAGATAAAATAATATATATCAGAAGGTAAAATGAGGAATACTTCTGAAATTAACACCTCATTACAGTAAATATTCATATTAGGTTGAATATTAGGTCGACCAATCAGGCTGTATATGTTAGGTTGAGGAGAATAGAACATACGTGTTCTAAACACGATAACAACAAATAAAGAGACTGCAATGAGCAGGTTTGGCTCTCTGTCATACTGTGTGAACATCATCATTTAGTATATAGGGAAGCACAGAACTCCTTGGACAACTAGAAATATGGAACACTAGAAGAAAATTCTCAGATGAAATCATTTATAAATATCACAACAATATACCTAGTGTAATCCCACATGTGGGATCTGGGGAGGGTAGGATGTACACAGACCTTACCCTATCTTTGTAGGGTAGAGAGGTTGTTTCCATTAAACAATTAATCACAAATCAAATCCAAAACAAATACACATCATCAACCTTCAAAGAAAAGAGTTTGATTATCATATGGATGCTATTGTGGCAACTGGGAACATGGCATTCCAAAGAGGAGGAAACTGAAAAAACCTACAGAACTAATTCGTGCCAACTACTGGAACAAAAAGAAAATTGCAGAAAAAAAATTTTAGTACTTTGTTTTAGGTTTTCAGTGTCCATATCAAGTAGTCATTCCAAGATGAATCCTATTGCATATATAAGAAAGGTAGAAACCAACTTACAAGACAAAGGTCATTTAACACAATTTGAGGACCAGCATTCTACACTTATCCTCCTAATTATGCATTCTCACATAGCAACTATCGAGTTTTCTAAAGATATAAAAGAGTCTACCCTCATCCAAAATCCAAACCCTTTGCTTGTGTAAGGAATGACCAAATTCTTACTACGTGTGGCACCAGAGTTGTTCATGACTGACAGACTGAACTTCAGATTCATTCAGCTTTTAAATTAAAGTTTTTGATTTAAACTTTAGTCTACTTTTATCCATTTTCTTTCACTTACACCCTCATCATTTGGTTTAGCAGTTTGAGTTTTACGCACCTCTTGATTCATTGCAGAAGTGTAAGGGTAATGTCTGTCTTTCATGAACAACTTTTCTCCTTTTCGATTCTTAATTTGATATTTTCCCTTCTTCTTCTTAAGTTTCCCTTTTCATTTCTCATATATCTGCTCCTTTCAATCTTGCTATTTGCTAATTGCAACTGCTAAACTCTTAAACATCCAACAGTGTGTCAGAGTGATACTTAGAGTACATTCTTCAACATTTTAAAATAATGCTCACTATTTCGAGAGACTTCAACTAAAATAGACAGCTAAGACTATTCATCTTTCACTATGAAAAAAAAAAAAGGAAAAAACCCTCAAACAACAACAATATAACCAGTGTAGTCCCACAAAGTGGGGTTTGGGGAGGGTAGAGGGTACACAAACCCTTACCCCTAC